TCACAAAGACAGATAGCTCACGCACATAGCGTCACAAAGACAGATAGCTCACGCACATAGCGTCACAAAGACAGACAGCTCACGCACATAGCGTCACAAAGACAGATAGCTCACGCACATAGCGTCACAAAGACAGATAGCTCACGCACAATGAGTCACAAAGACAGATAGCTTACGCACAATGCGTCACAAAGACAGATAGCTCACGCACATAGCGTCACAAAGACAGATACTCGCCACTACCGCCCTGGGGAGGGTACAAAGCATCGTCCTGACGCGCCCACATGGCCCCGGCAAAAGAGAGAGAGAGAGAGAGAGAGAGAGAGAGAGAGAGGATTTGGAGTAAAGAAGTTCCACCTATGAAACTGTCGGGCAGTGGAGGTCAGGGATGCAAAGTCAAACTGGTCGCCAGCAGTCGAAAGCAGAATGAAAACCCGACCACTGAACCGCCTGTGTCGATCGATGAAGGCAGTAGGGACCCCACAACACCGGACACCCCTTCGGTGACAGAGTTGTCAACGTGGAAGCTGTGTGAGTAGAGCGACTCAACTGCGAGAGGACGTCCGCCACAGTTCAGCTCGAACGGAAGCGCACGTCGCAGTTGAGTACGGATTGTATGGAGGCGCTCTTATAGAGCAGCGATTGCGCTGTTGCCCTGCAAGGTAGCCTGCGCGAATTGAGGTAGCCTGCCCGAATTCGGGTAGCCGAAGCGCGCTTGCCCGCCTCTCGCCAGTGGACCTCGCTGCACCACACCACCCCCACTACATGCTTCGCCGGTCATAGTGTTGGACTCGTGCAAACGCACCTGGTCCGGAAAGCGTCCGAGGCCAGTTTCTCGCAGAGAAGCTGTGGTTGAGAGGGGAAAGCTGGCACGTAGCCATGCAGGAAGGCCACTTTTTTTCTTTTTTTTTTTTCTAAAGGGGAGGTTTTTCAATTACAAGCTGGGAAACGGGCCAGCGTCCCTCGCATGAATTACACAACATTATGCCAACTACCATGCACCTGGTTGACTACTGGCCGGACGAACCAGATACCTTTATGAAACAATCCTCGGCCCATCTCAACAGAAGTAACAAGAACGGTGGTTGGGTTTCGGTACCGGGAGGGACAATCCCATTTCGATTCCATTTGGAACTACCGGGACAATCCCGTTTGGATTCCATTTGGAACTTGCAGTCGCAGCCGAGGATCTTCTAAATCTACGTACATGGCAATTTGTTATTTTCTCATCCACGGCAACCACATGACGAATCAGCATCTACCAAAGACTGGTTTTGACATGACAACTTACCCAGGCTGAAGCACGGCCTCACTGGTCCGCCCGGTCCCGCTGCTTTGACCTGTGACAGTATAAGTCACAGGTGCCTGGCCAGCAACAGCAACTCACCAACAACGGGTCCTGCGGTTGGTGGCAAGTCCCTCGGCCTACGTCCTCATCTCCAAGACTGTTTGATGTACACCGATTTCAGGATTTTATTTTCCTTTCTCACTTATTCAGTCTTTTCATCTCGGTCGATTTTCGTCATCTACGGATGGGACTTCTATGGATCCTACCAGTTTTCCTGTTTCTAAGATCTACGGCACGAGCACTTTCTACATTCAATATCTTCGGCCTTTCGGAAGGGACCAGTGGGACTTACCCGACAGGAAGCAGTCCCTCAGTGGTCCGGCCTCCACTGCCTCCAGTCGCGGCGAGAGTATATGTAACCGGCGTAGGACCGGTTGCAGCAGGCTGAGTCAACTCGCGCTGCCCGCTTTGTGGATTTTTTCTATTCGCTGCCGCACCCATTGCGTACGCGAATCTGCAAGTCACATCAAGCAAGTTAGCCGGACGCTCGGAGGACAGGTCGTTTTTCATCGCCTATTTTGGCGAAGCGGCCAGATTCTTCCGCACCTGCACCGTTTTTTCGCTCAGATTTTTTTCATCACCTGCATTCGCACTAGGTCGGTCTCTTTGAGGCTCTGTTCCTATACCACTTTCTGGCCTCCTTATCTGCACCCGCATCCGCACCTTTTTTCGGCTTAGTACCGCGTCAGGCAAGCTTCCCTACTTCTCTCGCATCCTAACCAATTCCTCGACCACGTACCTGTCTCGCGTTTACAGCTAAATCAGGCCTAAGTTTCGAGAGCAAGCCTTCCAGCTACTTAAACTACCGGTAAGCCCTCTCAAGCCTTATCATGAATGGCAAGGGCGTGGCGGGAAGCCCGACACTTTGCGTTGCGGCTCTGTCCCCACCCCGTCGTCAGTCTCCAACCTCCTCTTCTCAGCCCCACCAATCTTCTCACTCTCCTTCCGAGCACGCGTCTCCTACCTCCTCCTACCACTCTCCCCCACCTGAGCAAGCACCACTCTTCGACCCTTTCCTCAAGCACCATTTCCCGCATAACCTCATGCTTCAGTCTTCCTCTCCAGCACCACCACAACGACTCCTTCAACTCTTCGCTTCCCTCATCGATTTCCCCACCCCCAAACCCTCCCCCCCAATAGCCACTGATCCGGTGCTTGAAATAATATTTGTAATAGATCCGCCAACCGCATATTTGCTTCCTCTTCATCTGTTCACCCTCCCTCTCTTCACTCCTTCATCTTTCATCAAATTTCAGGAATCACGGGTGATAACAAAGTACGGATCGCTTCTCAATGCTGAAGATATCGAGCGTTTTTGCGTGGACACCGCCAAATTACGTTTTCAGTATGGAGATAAATCATTTTGTGTGATCAAGCGCAAACGTGCGACGGAGCTGCTTTCATATTCGTTTTTTTTGGCGACGCTGTTTAAACTCATCTCTGTCGACTCATGTCTACTTATCTCTCTCTCACCTAGAGAGCTTCTTCGGGCTCGATTGAACCTGGCGGAGTTTCAGTTAACCTGCGCAAGTGACTTAGCCGTCAACTTTTACTGCCTCGGGATGTGCCTCGCCTGCATAAACGACGACGTGTTTTTCTCCTGGGTCAAGAAGGGACTTCTCACCCTGGCGGAGAATCTTCCAGGGCTCGCTTCCTCACCTTTCCTGGCTTATCCGGTTGCTGCGCACTTCAAGGATTTCTTCGCCACGCTCGCTGAAGGAGCAATCATCTCTCTCCAACTCGAGGAACTTGCAGACAGGGGGCCTGGCCCTTGGTTCAGATACATTAGGAAGCAAGTTTTTGGCAACCTCCCCGATTACCTCCGCTATCCCGTCCTTCCCCTCGACTCTTCCCCCCCCTTCATTCCCAACTACCCTCGCTTCTTCTTCTGTTCGTCGAAGGGCAGGAAGAGGGGTGTAACCTTTGAGCGCAATGCCAAAGAAAGCAGTTCGGCTGCCGCCACAGACACCGCCCAGAAAGAGGAAGTCAGCAAAGACTGAGCCAGAAGAATCATCCTCTTCAGATCCCCCCTCCCCTTCTCATTCACTTCCTCTCCAACCCCTCTTTCTAGTAACCAAGCCCCCCTCCCCAATCATCCGAACCCCTCCTCTGCAATCCTCTCCCTTGCAGCCCCCCAAAACCCCTAGACAGAGACGCAAGCCGAGTCTCTGCAGAAATATGGACTTATTAATCTTCTCCTTGCTCTTCATCCTCTTCCTTCTTCACCTCTTCACCATCTTCCTTTGTCTTCCCAAATCCTCTCGGTACCTATGTCTCCCCTGATAATGTTCGGCCGATGACGGCCTAATGAGTCCGTTAGGGACTTAATGAATCTTAATCTGTGAATCTGAAACGGTGTTTTGATCGTGTAACCCTGTGCTTCGATGATTTCCTGGACCGTAGCCATTTAGCCGGTGACCGGTGTCACCTCTTTTCAAACTCTGTGTTGTCATATGGATTTTAGCGTTGATAAGCAATGGTGCAATCTGAGCTTTAGAGTTTGCAATTCTTCACTCTCTCCCTCCTGCCTCTGTCTATGTTGGTAATATTTCGATAGCTCGCCATCTGCCATGATCTTGGACATGCAACGAGCACACTGTTAAGGCAGTAATCTGATTTTTAGTGAAAGAAGAACGAAAGTGATATTCCATTGTGTTTGTTTATCTACTTGTGCAAAACCACCGGACAGTACTGAACAGAGACCCCTACTCTCGAAACCTCTCGCAGACGATCATCAAAGCAAGCCACCAATCTGTTTTCTCCCAAAACTTGAATGTCTAATGATGCAATCCCCGCTCTCCTTACCTCTTTATATCACGCCGCATCATACGTAGGAAATAGTCACCATGCAAAAGAGGGAAAGAAGGATGAAATTGAATTTTTTTACTCATCTTTGTTCTACGGCAAAAAAATAAAATAAAAAATTTTCCCCAACTATTGCAAGTCATCTCGCAATCATATAAATTTGTCACGTAACTTGTCATCTGGCAAATCTTCAAGAAAGAAATCATGCCTCCTTTAGCACGATCATCTTCTAGCTTAATCGCACCAAGTTACCTATCTCATCTATGGGAAAAAAAAAAAAAAAAAAAAAAAAAAAAGTGGAAACCTTTGTGCAGCAATGAAGCCAATCAGGAGCTCTCAGCTATATTTTTCTGACCTTAATCTATTTGTTTGCAGGTAATCTTATCCCGCAATCATGGAAAATCGTCCAATTTCAATCTACATGAATTTCCTCTTTCTTCCTTTTAGACTCGCCTATCGGGCAGTACTTCCCCTTCGAAATGCTTTTCTCAGAATTTTCTTTCCCATCTCAACCCTCACGATGATTATCTTCATTTTTCTTTTATTTTTCTTCGGAATATCTTCTATATTATTCTTCGCCACTCAGACTTTACTACCCTTTAAATATATTGATACACATCTAGTTATTTATTTATTTAAAAAGGCGAAGAAAGATTAAGCCATCAGTATTCGAACCATGGAAAAAATGACCAGTAGCGGCCTTGGTTATTCGTTCCTTCAGAATGAGTCATCACTGGCTATAATCGGTCTTCCCATCTTGTTTTGAATGATGTTATTCTCCCTCATCTTCTTAACCAAAAAAAAAAAAAAAAAAAAAAAAAAGGAATCCACACTAGGATTTAAACTCTCAAATTCAGGCAAAAGCCCATCACTCACTCCTGTCATCTTTACTCAATCATTCTAAGACCACCTATAATCTGATACCCCACTCTGGATCACGACCCTAAAACAAAACTCACCTTAATGACCCTCAACTGTTTAATTACCAATCACCACAAAATGCTCGGTCATTATTGCTATAGGAACTAAATGTGTCTCTATTGTAGTCATAATGTCTTGCCTTAAGATCTTCACCTTACCCTGCAGTTTGGTAAAATTCGAGGTTTCTTCCCTCTTTTGCATTCCAAAAAAAAAAAAAAAAAAAAAAAAAAAAAAAAAAAAAAAAAAAGGGAAAAGGATGAATGTGTCAATTTACAGCCATAATGACAGGGCATTATATCCCAACCTTCACCCAGCAGTACACGAAGTCATGATCGCATGATTCTTGAGTTCTTCCCTATTCTGTTTTATGTACAAAGAGGGGGCGGATTGCTCTTCAATTACTAAGCAAAAGTTAAACAGTGTTCTCTCCCCTTTTTTCCAAATTCTAGCACTTCTTGACTGTAAGAGCTCAATTTACTAATAAGAGTGTCAGATCATTATTAATTAAGGACTAATGACGTCCTGATTGTAGTTTTAAAGCTTTTCATCTTCACCTTACCCAGCAGTATAGTTGATTTCTTTCAAAAAAAAAAAAAGAAAAAAAAAAAAGATCGCTTGGTCATCAGCACTGCTGAATGTGTACTGTTTGCAGCGTTAATGGCAGGGAATTATATCTTAACCCTCACCCAGCAATGCACTATAGCCTGATCACATGGCCCTTGAGACTGCTCTCTATTCTGTTTCTGTAAATATATATATATATATATATATATATATAAATCATTTAATCTTTATCGAAATCGCTACCCACCTTGTTCCTATGCCTCAGTATTTCTGAAATGTTTCCTCCCGTTTTCTAGCCCAAGCATAAAAAAAAAAAAAAAAAAAAAAAAAAGGAGGGTTAAAAATTCCCTTATTCTAACATCCTGTTGTTTTTCTTCTGCAGAAATGTCTGTCGAAATGGAAGACTCTTTCATTATCATGGCCTTTTCAGACCTCTTATTAGTTCCATTCTGTTTTCTTTACAACATCGTAAACCTCTCTCTCAATCCCTTTCTTGCCAACAATTTTTCCCTCCGCGGGATCTCGTTTTTTATCACGATTTTTCTTTTTATTACCTTAGTTATACCTTTCTTCTTCCTCGCTCTGCTTTTTCGTAGCATTTGGAATTTTCTTAAAGCTCCATAAATAAATAAATAAATAAATAAAAAAGGGGGAAGAAAATCAGGAATGAATAGTATAAAGAAGACGTCAAGGGTGATAACAAAAGCATAATCAGGCCAACATAGCCAATTTTTCCTCAATCTTATCAGCTTGTACCTTCAATCTTTTCCTTCCTCCCACCCCCTCCTCCTCTCCGTTTTACCAAAGACCACAGCGTTTAAAATTCTGCTCTATATAACTTGAATTAAACAAGGGTGCAAATTTCGAACCTGGTACCTTCTTTATCACGTAAGCTTGTTTTGATTCTAGAACTAGACAAGGGTGCAGTATTCAACCCTTGCACCTTTGTTTTACAGAGTAACTGTTACTGCTTATTGCCTTTTTGGTTACATCTCGATAAGCGTTGTCATAGACTCACATCTTTTCGCTGAGGTTTGCTCGTCTGAGAAAGTCCCGCTATAAGTCGGTACCTTAGGTTGTCTTTGTCATATAGACCTCTGGGAGGCTATCATTGACAGTATTTTCATGATGTTAGCAGTCGACCCTGGTACAGTAGCTATTTGTTAGGATTGGCCAACGGTCATCCGGTTTGGCAGCCTATTGACTCAGATTGAGGTGAGGCCTACTTACGGCCTATAAAGAACTTGATTGCTCTTTTCCAGGTCAGACGCAACAGATCACTGTCAGTTTCCGGAGATGGTTAATAGGTTAGTAGAGGTTTCTGACTAAGTATCAGGTACAATAAGGTGGAACCTTGATGATGACCGGTTGGCTGCGGTAGAAACTGTCCCAACCGGCATGTAACCTAGTATACTCATGTCCTTATACCCTATCTGTCGAGACTGTATTGGCTTCTGGATTCCCTCATTGAATCACTAATCTGTTTTGCTTAATGAAACCTGCCACTCTTCCCTCCTTCCCCGGAAACCCACTCTCACCCACGCTATCTCAATGTGCTTTCTTCACTGCCTTCAGGCACTTGGCAGACACATTTTTTTTGAACCTATATTCTCAAAACGGGATGTGTGCGTCAAAAAAAA